ATTCAGTTTTAAGGCCGATACAGGCCGATACCGATAGAGGGTCGATTATATCGAGCGTCTCTAATATTGTGTTAAATACACCGGAGAATTCTAAGTGCTTGCAGTGCTACCTGCCTTTTAGATATGAGAGTGGGTTTGTTGAACTAGGTAAATCATCTTCAACCCCAGATCCAAAGCAATAAGCTAACGGCATGAGGTCCTGCTTGTTTTCTTTCTCAAATTGACCAACAGGTGTCTATTGGACCTTCATGCCTAGGCATGTCAAGGTAACTAGTGTATAGTCACTAAAGACCATTGGCTGAGTTTTATTTAGCACCGGAACAAGGCAGGTGGTCATCCACATCACTGAAACTGTTGCCAGGGTCAGGCTAAGGTTGAAGAGGTGTTGAAGTATCCTCTTGGAGCTGCTCAGCACAGGCCTTTAGCACTATGGAGCTGACACAATCTTGACTTGGTGCTGGCTTATTGCAGTTTCAGTCACTACGATTGCCTCTTTACAGACAAATTGATGAGGGAGGGAGCAGCACCATCTTCTGAATTAGATGAGACCAATAGAAAAGATGACTTAAATTTTCTTTCTTCTTTGCTCCTTCTCTGGATCCTTTGCACCTTTTTTTTACCCAACTGGGAACTGTGAAAGTAGCTGTTATTGCTTGAGATGTAGATGGAACTGCTGCTGGGTTAAAGTATCAGCATCCAACATCAGTAGTAAGAACAGTCAAAAACAAAAGTGAAACATGTCATGTTTTTTTTTTTTTTTTTTTTTGTCATGTTTTTTTTTTTTTTTTTTTTTACCAGATTGCTTTAGTTTATTTCTTTAGGTACAATGAGAGGTCCTACTTTATACAAACATTTTTTATATACTTTTTGAATGTCAAAAGTTTTTTATTTGTATGCTTTTATACATTTCTCAAACAATTAATTGAACCAGCATGCTTCTCTAGTAATCCATTTAGTTGTCTGCTCAGGCTTGATGGCCAATTGTTCTGTGTTTAGGCCTGAGACTATAAACTTTTATATAAAATATAAAAATTTCTTTTAAAATGTGTCTATTGCAGAATCTTTTGCTATTTGCATATAGTTAGATTGAAAATTTTAAATTAAAAGCTAAATCTTAAGAGTTTGTGTGATCAGACATTACTAGAAAAGGTCTTAGAAAATTCTTTTTCCCAAGCTTACTCACATATCTCCTGTGAAAATGAAAGCCTTGGAAGGATTTGGATTTGTTGTGATGTTATTGTTGTTCTTTGAATAACTTCTTTGAAAAGTTTCATTCTTAAATAAAAATGTGGAGTATGAAAAGAACTAAGACTTTCGAAAGATGTGAGCCTTCATCTATCACTATGATGTCGGCATTTGACTTCAATGCCTGTGAGAAAGCCCATTGAAGGCATGAGCAGGCCTTTAACATTATTATTGTTTTTACATTTTTCAGTTCTTATAAAGTGACTGTTAAAGCCAGGGTTTACATACAGTCATCTTGGACCTGTATATGACATCGAGTCTGGTGTTTTAAACATTTATGATGTTCATTCTGAGAAGTGGAATTATTGTACAGTGAAGCACTTCAATCACTTTTATTGAGAAATTAAGTGCATATTAAATGTTACATTGAGGTTTAAAAATTAACAGAAATGCTAAGATTTTCAATAAAGACCTCATTAATGTTTGTTTTATTGCCCTTTATTAAGTTACTTCTCAACTGCATGATTTGTGTAGCTCTAAACAATACTTGTTTAATTGTCATTGGATAGATCACTATTATCCTTGGTATCTTTAGACCGCCTGAGGAGACTATAAGTGTGAGAAGTAGTTGTGAGCTTAATTTCAGCTTCATTATGCGCTCAGGGGCACATTAACTGTATATTCCTGCACCACCACTTTGCATATCAGCGTGACTGGGTGGATATAGCTATAGTTGAAAGTGCTTTTACTGGTCAGCTTGAATAGTAATGTTATATATAAATCCAGCCCATTTACTATTTGTTAAGACTGTTTTGTTGGATGATCAGGACTTTTTAACGTAATCCACAATTCTTCTACAGTGTTACGTTCAGGGTATCCCAAAATCTGTTTTATCCATTCTTACACCCATTTCGATCTGTATTTAGAATCACAGTTCTTTGGTAACAGATTAAAAGTTTTCTTTAAAAAAAAAATTGGCATCTCAATGTTTCTTAAGCTGCAGATTTCAGTCATGATCAAATGTGTTGATTTTAGGGCAAGAGCTTCATTTTAGTAAGACTTGATATATATTTTTGCAGGTTTTTAGTTCACTTGTGTTACTGACCACCATTATTTTATTATTGCAATTTTTTTTGCACCTGATGGTGACAGTTTCAGTCAAAGGATTGACATAAAGTCACTAGATTCACATCACAACTAGTTTTGGAATGAACAAACTAATAATTTATAAAGGCCTACCCCCACATCAACACTTCCAAAAAAACATTTATGCACTAAACTTAAAAACATATTTCATCTATCCGGACCCACCTGCTGGCTAATCCGGACCCAACCTAATTCAAAACATTTATAAATTACTGCATTTTTTCCGACAGCAGTGTCTAATTTCACCTGCGCTGCTTCTCCTGTATGTACGGTAAAGCCCACCGGAGCGTCCAGGCTACAGGTGATACAAATTAGCCAATGAGCTGTGTCAGTCTGGGTTGCTGCTGCTGGCCACTTTTAGACACAGCAGGCAAACCTGTGGCAAGCCAGGCGATGGGAAAGAAGCAGACGATGAGAAAAAGAGAGCAGCGAAAGTGTGGACTGCTGGAAGAACCGCGATGATCTGGTGAAAGAAAAGTGAAATGGTGTGCTCAAAGATAACCCTGCACATTTTTAGTATTTTTGGCTCAACTTATTGCTGTGAAGCAGGATTCCCCACCATGAACATGATCAAAAATAAATATTGATCCAGGCTGACGAATGAGCACCTTGATATGTGCTTGAGAATGGCATTTAACAAATGGTCAGTTCAGGCTTTTTATAAATTATGTGGATCAGGAAATTGTCTATATACCAAACGGAAAGATTGTTGTTCTCTACTTCAAAAAAAACTTTAGATTTTAAAATGGAAAAGTTTTCTATTTTTTTATATATTTTATTTAAAAGGTCAATTTTATTTTTAGTGTTAAATGCAGTTTAAAGTAACAGATTATAATTAAAGATGTCTCAGGACCTTTACTGGTTGTTGATTTTCTTTATTTGGACCCCGCTGATTTTTAATGGTTTACCCCTGGTTTAGAGGGCTTCAGTATTCTAAAATCTACAGTAAGTATTTCTCTTTTTTTATGTTTACAGATGATGGCATCAGATGGTGTCCAGCAGAGTAGCCCAGTAACTGTCAACATCCTGGTTATTGATGCCAATGACAATACACCCACGTTTGCACAGGTCTCCTACAGTGTTGAAGTCTTTACAGACATGCAGCCAGGGGAGACAGTTCTACAGGTAATCAATCCAGAGCGATCATTCTCTCCTATTTTGCCTTCCTATTTTTTTTTGTCTACCACTGAGACACTCTGCACTTTGTCCTCATCACACAGAATCTCTCTTTCAAATGCTCTTTCATGCTCAGTAAGAATAACCACAACAGTCTTACCCATTGTCTTGACAGGCAAAGCCCAGGAGCATATCTGCAGTCATAACAGACATGGCAGAGAAAATGTTTTTTCTCTGGCATCAGTAAGTCATAGTGGAAGGGCTCCGTGATAGCAATTTATCAACCCTTCTTATAGCATACAACAGGATTTGGAAATAAGGCAGGATTGCTTTTCTATTACTTCAATCTCTTTGGAGTGCTCTATGGATTTGGGTCAATGTTTTGATATAATTACTACAATGCCTTTTAGCTTTCCATCTATATTCCTTTACTCTTTGCCTGCTAAGCAATTGTAGTATGGAAGCCAAGCATATACAGAACCTTGCTAAAGTATGCATACCTCTTGATGTTTTTCTTTGACCTCTGTGTATTTTATTAAAATCAAGCAAATATGCTTTTTACTCAGGAATTAATTCATATTTGTATATATACAGTGAATATATATATATAGAGAGATGGAGAGAGAGAGTTAAAGCGGTAGTCTTTCTTTCTTTAAAGCAGTAGTCTTCATTTTAATTTTTTAAGTCTCAAACTGATTTTTTTCCAAGGCTGTCTTCATTTAGATCCATTTATCTTACTGTTACCTTTTGACTACAGTACTTTCCAGTCCCTAATGAAGAAAATCCTCGACATGATGTTGCCACCACCATGCTTGGCTGTGGTGATGGCATTTTAAAGATCATGAACAGTGTTTGCTTTTTACCTCTCATATCATTTTAAGGTGAAAGAAAAACCACAACAAAAAAACTATTTTTTTCAAACAGTTACTTCACCATGTCTGAAATGAGGCCAGGGGTTATGGTGTCTGCTCTGACCGCTTAGCCCATTTCATAAGCAGTTTATATGAGCTGGAATCTCCCCTGAGAATGCGAAAGCTTATTTAATGCTACAACTTTTACTCCAATGTCAGTATCATGGAAAAATTAGGTCGTTGAAGCTTGGATTAAGTTTCAAGGCTTCAAAGATATGAGGTCAGCTGCAACATGAAGGCTTATAATTAAGAGCAGCTGAATTCCCCAAATATTTAAGTTGAAGTTAGTAATGGTTCCTTATTCAGTTTGGAATTAAAATATTCAGTTTGAATAACGTTGTCGTGATATAAGCTTTATAAAAAAGTTTTTTGTAGCCATTTCTTTACAAATTTATAGTAAATGTTATCTGATTTAAACTGTGATCATTAATTAAGAGTTTCAACCAGCTCTCTATTTTTACAAAGAAATAATCCGATGTTCTCATTAAAATAAGATAGCGGTGCAGCAAAGCACGTGGTGCCATGAAACCTCAGAACTCCCACCTGAGAAAAAAAAAATACTGTTTCACAAATAATGTTAGCTGTAAATTTAAACCACTAAAACTAAAAACAGCGGAATAGAAGGCAGTTGTATGATGCCACAATGTGTTGTCTTACTATATGTCTAATTTTGTTTTCTCAGTTAACTGCAGTAGATGCTGATGAAGGACTGAATGGTCTGGTGACGTACGAGATTCTGGCTGGGGCCCAAGGAGACTTTGTTATTAATAATCGATCTGGACGTATCACTGTGGCGCCTGGTGTTACGTTAACTGTGGGCCGATCATATGCACTAACAGTCAAAGCCTCAGACAATGCACCAGACACCCAGAGAAGGTATAGTAATATGACAACTTATCAAAATCATACAGAAGTGAGAAATTAGTAATCATCAAAGGCATTTACTTCGTTTTACTAATCCTACGACCAGTAATACTTTAAAAATATGTCGATTTTCTCTTTATCTCATTACTTTTTAATTGATTTCAGTTTGTCCCAAGTTGCAATGCCTTGGTCATATCCAAAGGTCTTTCATGTCTGTAGTTTCAGTTTGACTGTGGATGTCATGTTTGCTAAATGATTTTAATAATGTTTCATGGGAACTGTTTTGAGATAAAGTGTGAGAAAAACTTTATCTCAAAACAGTTCCCATGAAAAATCACCCTTTGGCTTTCTGTTTGTCTATCCATCCATCCATCCATTCTGAAATCTGCTTATACTTTGAGATGCCAAGACTTTACCATTCCAGAAGAGATACCGTCTATCTAGTTAATTTTGGATATGCCTCAGGGTATCTTTTTAAGATATGCCTGGAAAACTTTAAAGTTCCCCTGAAAATGTGGTCTTTATACCAAAGAGTTGGGAGCCAACTCATAGGTCCTCAAACTGATCAAACTGATCAAATTCCTAACCTTATCTTTATGCTAAGCTCAGCAACCCTTCTTAGAAAGCAAAGTTTGTTGCATCTTGGATCCCATCCGTTCAGTCATTAACTATATATCCTAACTGCAATTGAGAGCTGAAACAAAGACGGACCAGTAATTTAAGACCTTTTCTTTAAGGCTGAGAGCTTTTTATATTATGACAGATTGAAGTGAAATCTGGATGCCTTAAAGCGAAAACCCACTTGTTCTTCACCCTTTCCATTTCTATGATGCCAAGTTATTTGACATCTTGAGATCTCAAGTCTGAGGCCATGGTTTCTGCCAGGAAACTATGGTCTGGGTTAGGCAAAAGAAATGAGTAGGACATGAATGGAAGTCAATGGAAAGTCCTCACAAGGATAGTGTGATACAATGTGTGCATATGTATGAAATATCCACATATAGCTCTGATGATAGCTATCCTTTGACTAAACCTTGACATTTTCTCTGAACTATGGGGAAAGTGTTGTGGTTAATGAACGGAACAATTTCTGGAAACAGAAACTCGGATCATTGCTTCAAATGTGCTCTTCTGTTACCCAGGAGCTCCATCACTACAGTTTATATTGAAGTTTTACCACCCAACAACCAAAGTCCTCCACGCTTCCCCCTTCTCACCTATAACCTAGAGATCAGTGAGGCCATGAGGATTGGAGCTATTCTCCTTAACTTGCAGGTAAAGCATTAATTCATTTATACTATCCTTCACATTTAGTGTGCATATTTTGACATAGTTTGCACAGTTTAGAATTCATTCTCAAAAAATGTTTGAATTATAATGTAAAAGTTTATATAATGCTTGTTAATTTCTTATTTACTCCTATATCTATAGCTGTCATGTTTCTCTGTACATTGTTAACTTTATATGGCTCTAACCTCTCAGTTTTATTTGTTCCAGGCAACAGACAGAGAAAATGATCCGATCACTTATCGAATTGTGAGTGGGGATTCACTGAAGGTTTTCAACCTCTCAGAAACGTAAGTGTAAACATATATATATATATATACATTAGGGCTGGCCGATAATTCAATAACGATATATATTGATCGATAGACGTGTGGCGCAATAGAAAAAAAGAGGGTCGATAAAAGTTCGATAAAAAAGAAACGCAGTTTTCCTTCCTTCTCATTGTAGCCTAGCATGTAGGTTTATGCTAGTCACTGCTTCCTCCCAACCAATCACAATCGCGGACCCAGGCACGCCGTCACAAAGCGCCGCCCTCTCAAACTACAACACAGAGCACATGAAGATGTCGCAGCAAGGAGAGGCGGAGGAAATTGTTTCAAAGAAGGGTTTTTGTAGTTCGGCAGTCTGGCAGTATTTCGGTCATGGCAAGTCGGACCAAAAACAAACCACAGTCATCTGTAAAATGTGTAGGGAACCAGTGAAAACCAAGTCTGATAACACAACCAACTTTTTTTTTTTTTTTATCATCTCAGCCGCTCACACCCGCAGGAGTACGAGCTGTGTAGGCCCCGGCGCGGCTCTCCTCCGAGGAATCTTCGGGAATTTCGGGAAAATATATATATATTTTCAGTTCTGGGCAGTTTCCCATGTAGTTCTAACAATTGAGATAAAAATGCTCAGGGGCCAGAAACTTCAAAGTAATAACTCAGGTTAAAGCAGGAAATGGGGGCGGCGGCGGCGGTTGGGGGGCATTTATTTATTTGTTATATTTATTTTGGTCACTTTTCTGGTCACTTTAGTTTATTCTTTGTCAGTATTTAATAACATAACTCAGGTCTCTTAAGTTATTTTTCTTTAAAACAATTCTGTTATGGTTAAAAAAGTTGGTTAAATAAAGATTTAATTCGAAGTCTGTGTTTGTGTTTTTTATTAAAATTAAATCATTTAGCAATATTATAAAAAGTCCAGGCAGAGCTGCACATAAAATATGGTTTCAGATCTTTTCAATAATTATCGATATCGATCAATATGCATTTTTTTTTATCGATAAGTTTTTTTTCTACATCGCCCAGCCCTAATATACATAAGTGTAAACATATATATGTGTGTGTGTGTGTACTTTTTTGTTTTGTCTTTATATAGTTTGGTCCCGCTCTCTCTTAATAAAAGCCAAATTGTTTAATGGGTATGATGAATGATTACAGAATCCTGTTTACAATCAAAGATATAACGTCCAACTATTTTTCAAAAAATGAAATACATCTAATACCCTACTTTTTTTTCTTTGATGCGCAAGAAAAGCATCATGCAAATACTGAAGGCAGAGATGAGGGATATGTAGTCAAAAATTCATCCCCTCCCCATGTATTTGTTCTACACAGCCACTGAACCAGGTGGGTCCAATCTGACAATTTCATTAACTGCACAGATTGGACTCACCTGGTTCAGTGGCTGGGCAGAACAATTACCAGGCATGAAAATAACTTGTTGACTCGACATGCCCCATCTCTGCAAACATGTTTATTTCATATCATAGGTACGCCAACAACTTATTGTTGAAATGTTTTAAAAAGGCTTAGTTTGACAATCTGAACTAATTAGATTTCAGTTCACAACTTAAATAGAACGAATGTAACTCTAGAGAGATCAGGTTTTAACCCTGAATAAAATAAATTATTATTCTTTATTAATCGTTTTGGTTTATAAAGTTTGTACATGGATAGAGGCTAAGGGCAAGGGGTTTTGTAAGACCTTTTTGTAAAACCTCACAAATCTGCACTGCACAGGTTTTCAGGACTCTGAAGCTCTTCAGTTGCTTCTTGTCATTATTTCTAGAATGACAGAGACAAGTTCCATGGTGGAAGATGAAACATTTGAGTTGTGAGAAGAAAGTTTTTGGTCAGAAGGTGAGCAGATATCCGTTTTTGATTGTGGAGAGGAGAGAGGGACCCCAAACTTGTTTCTAAATTAAAAATGTTGAAGAATCTGGTCAGTTCATTGGCTCTGTCTAGACTCCCTTAGACTTGAATCAGTTCATTTGCTCTGTCTAGACTCCCATAGACTTGAATCTTTATTCTGTATGCCTTATTGCTTTATCCTATCTCCACCTTAAGTAGCTTCTCTTTACACCTCAATAATTCCCTGTCTCCTTTCCTGAAGGCTCTTTTTCTCTTGTCAGGTAGTTCCATCAGATCACTGGCAATCCAGAGTTTATTGTTGTGGAGGTATTTAAAGGTTTGTTTGTTTTTCAGGATGGTGTTTTATACACAAAAATATACATAGTCGGTCACACAGTCATCATACATGGTGCACCCCAGTTTTTTAGCATCAACAATACCACAGGGCTTCTACAGCTTCCTGTGGCCATCTTCTTACAGTTCTCTTCAATACAGATTTCCTCTTATCCCAAGCAGGACAGGTCGCCAGTCCATCGCAGGGCAACACAGAGACAAGCAGGACAAACAGCCATTCACCCACACACTCACACCTAAGGAGAATTTAGAGAAGCCAAAGAACCTAACAATCATGTTAGGGGACCATGTAGATATTGAATTGAAGGGGCCCCAAAGATGGACCGTCAGGGCATACCATGTTAGTTATGTGGTATTTCATGTAAAGTTAGCAACTGCACAGCAAAGTCCCTGTCCTTTAGGTAGGATTAAAAACATTATCAGTTTGCATTCATTCACCATTCTTTTCTCGTCTCTCACACAATAAGTAAAAAGTTACATACTGTAAGCAGCAAAAATTACCTAACAACAGTTTGCAGGTGAGTCCTCAATTATTGACATGGGCTATTGGAAGGACCCTTCCACAATTGACCTGCTTTCATCTATGAAGAGAACAGGACGGCATTGATGAATATGCCAATCTTGGTGTTCTCTTGCATAGATCAAGCTCCCTGCATAGTGTTGGGCTGTGAGCACAACCCCCATCTGTGGACATTTGGCCCTCATACTATCCCCATAGAGTTGGGTTCTATGTGCATGTGTTTGCAGACACCTGCACATTTTTGGCCTATCGGAGGTCATTGTACAAAGGCAGAGGTAGCAGTGCTGCTGATGGGTTGTTGGCGTCCAACAGCCTCCTTCACATCTCCTGGTGAACTGGCCTGTCTCCTGGTAGCGCCTCCAGCCTCTAGACCCTAAGCTCGCATAGATGTGCCATCCTAGATGAGCTGCACTACCTGAGCCACTTGTGTGGGTTGTAGAATCTGTCTCATGCTACCACAAGTGTGAAAGCACCACCAACATTCAAAACTGACGAACACATAAATCAGAAAGCAGACGTACTATAGATGGGTCTGTGGTCTTCACCTGCAGAACCAGTCCTTTATTTTGTGTGTCTTACTGATTGCTAATAATTCCCATCTGTTGCTTATTCCATTTGCACAACAGTATGTAAACTTTATTATTTTTCAATGTTACTTACTAAGTAGTCAGTTTGATTTCACAGAAGTTTGATTTAACTGAAGTTATAATGTGTTGCTTACATTCCCTCTACTTTCTTTCCCTTTTCATTTGTGTTGAAACAACCACATACTGTACATTGTTGACGGGTGAACAAAAAATAATTCCAAAAAGCCTACTGCCAGAATCATCATTCATAAAGTAAACCTGTGTTTTCTCCTTATTTAAGGGAATAAAAAATGCTTTAAATGTTGAAGTGGTTACTGCCTCTTTTAGCTTATCTCCTAAGCAAGCAAATAAAAAGAGGAAACATGGGGAGACTGTAAATGTAGAACCCTGCCAAACACATTTCTCTCTAATTGATTAAAGCCTTTTTTTTCAGTACTCGTAGCCTACCAGCTATAAAAGGACAGGCTGTTCGCTCTGTAACCAAGAAAAGTAAGGGCAGTCTGCTTTTGTTGGCATTGCATGTAATCACCCTAACCACATATGACAGAAATCCTGCTAAAACAAATTGATTAATTTTCTCTCTGCACGTTCATTTTGTTGCAAAAATGTCTCAAACTCCCATCAGCATATAAATACAACAACCTTGAGTAGGTGCCTGAATAGCACAACATGATGAATTCAAAATGATTTTTCTACTTTTGATGAAAGTTTAATCCGAGGGTCTCTTTTAACCCTCAGAAGTATATTAGCATTTAGTAAATACATTTTTATTTTATTTTATTCGGGGTATGTATAGAATTGGTTCAGTCTACCAGTAATGAACTAAAAAGAGATGACTGTGACAGATTTTGCTAATAGCTTAAGGAAAATCAACTATGTAAGTTAAGGTGAGTGGATCAACCCTTGCCTTATATATGCTGGCAGTTAAAAAAAAAAACTATAGCTTTTGGACAATTTAAATGAAAAAGATGGGAAGCAATGCTACAGCAACATGCATATTATATGCATATTTTATGCGACAGAGGACATGCACTGATCCACACTTAGTGGTGCAAGAGCACCTGCCTTTTTTTTTTTTTTTTTTAACAGGATACAATTTGTGGCCCAATGTAACATTTCTGGATTTATGAGCCAATTTAACAGTGCCATACATGTTTTTATTTTGTCTGACAAAGCCCCTTTCCAACTGCTTATACATGTGACATGCATCACTACGTGCCTCTTTCCACGTAAGTGTGCTGCATCCAAAGCAGACAAGTGAATGCATATTAGTGCAGCATGTTAAAATAATAGTAGATTTCATGATCTTAATAAAGGTGGCATGTATGGATGAAAAAAAGAGGGAATCGACCTACCTTTGTTTCACACCAGAAGTAAACTGTACCATCTGCAAGCTAGGGGTTGTTTTTGTGGCAAATAAGTTCTGCTAAAAATGTGTTAGTCCAAATAACCAAGGATAAAACTATGCATTTCAACATAGAAATACCCTTACACTTGAACATTCTAATAATAAATAGCCTACTGAAGTTTGGCCAGGCCCCCCTGCACGCAGATACTGATGCTATGGAATACTCCTCTCATGTATTGAGACACAGGGTGCAGAAGAGGTTGTGGACATTGTGTCACATGATATGCATATTACTTGGAATAAAGATTTTAGTGGAAAATGAAGTAATCTTTGTTTAGCAGTTTGAAGTTCGTGTACAATGCATGTCAATATATGAAGAGATGGGTACTCCTGTCGCATCATCATCTGACATGCAGGGGTCTGACCAAGCATTCATTTTTTTGATGAGTTGGAAGTGAGCATGTGCTAAAAATACAAAACAGTGCTGATCAGCTGTGTCAAAGGCATCACATATGTGTAAGGAAATTATTTTCCTTTCAATGTTGGTACATGTTAGCTACTGATAGCAACTACTTTAGTCTCCATCTTAGCCTCATGTCAATCTCATGCATGCAGTGTTTTGAAGGAAAAAAGGGTTTTATGTATTACTGTTCTCACATGGTTTATGACATGCTCAGTGGAAGCAGCTGTCCATTGCTCTGAGGTAAAATCTGTCATTGGTCCTTCGCACACCATTTCAGAAAAAGACAGAGAGGGTGCTTAAGAACAGGTCACAGCTGTGCCTCAACATCTCACCTCCTGTAGAAATCCTTCCCCTACAGTAAATGGGAAACCTCACATCACCACAAGGATTAATGTAGACTTTCTGACAATATACTTGCTGCAATTTTAACTGCCCTGTAACAAATGTAATTGGACTAAAAAATATCTTTAATCTTACATCTTTTATAGTTTAAAAAATCTACCTAAGCATGGATCACTACAATTCTTCAAGGAATAATGATCGAGATATAATATTTCAGTCATCAAATTATACCATGGTTTCACTGTATTATTATTATTAACACAAAATATGAAATTGTTTTATAAAATTTGATCTAATTGATTTCATTTAAAACAGAAAAATAAATCTGTAGCCTATGCTAAAAGCTTATAGAATTTTGATTATTATGGTTAAAATTGGAATATGCAGGTTTGTTTGTTTGTTTTATCTGAAATGCCACTCTGATATTGTAAAAGGAAACTCTCACGCACAAGTCCACAGTTCAAGAAAATGATAAATGTGTGCCAAAAATAACTATTTTAAATAAACTCACCCTATTTATGTACTCTATTTAACAAAGCAAGGCAAACAAGTTTATTTGTGTTGAAAATTGAGTACAAGGACAAATTAAAGTGCTTTACATGAATCCAACAATAAAATTGAAGACAAATAAAAGTAAAATAAAAACAATAAAGATAAAAACATGAGAGATAAAAAACAGAGTAAAGCAAATAAAACAGTTGGACCAAAAACTTAAGCTGATACCTCAGTTATCAGTTTAACCTCACCAGTCAAAGGCAGCTCTAAACTAAAAGGCTATTACGGTAACTTTGACTTAAAAGGCTTTCATCACTTTTAAAGTTTTCAGGAAGTTTGTTCCAGATAAGTGGAGCATAAGAAATAAATGCTGCTTCTCCTTGTTTGGTTCTAATTCTGGGTGTACAGGCGGCTTGAACTAGCCTACCAATGGTTTTCTTTCAGCTAAAGATATTTTGAATATTCAAGGATCAATTTCTGTTTCTATCACAAGCACTGGTATGAAAGACATAGCTTTTCACATTCTATTATTTTTACTAGTGGAGAGTTAATTGGAGGGTCTGTCATTAATTAATCGCATTTAATAAAGCCATATATTGAATGAAAAACTAAGCCACCTTTTCAATTCGAAAACATTTTTTCTCCTCAATTACTCAATAAATAATTCTACAAGCACAACAAAACATATGTTTATTGTTTTTAATTCAACTACAGTATTTAGGTTGTTTAAAGGGGAGTATTTATTTTGCCTGGATAAATTGTGCAATCATGGTATTTCTTAAAAATTGTTTTATTAAAGTCTTAAAAATCCCACAATGGCAAACAATGATATGTTTTTATACCTGATTATTTCCTTTTGAACATTTAATCCATGTGTAAAAGACCAGTTTGAGCAGCCTTTTTCCACTCTACTTAAGTAACACTAAGTTTAGGTGGAGCTACTCTTGGTCAGTTTTGGCTCCTGTACCTTTAAGGTCCGTTTCACAAAGAAGGTTTATCGATCTC